ACTGTTTTTAACTATCTTGCTTATCTTATCTAACCAGTATATCTACTGCGTCAAGTAGTTCCTAATATTTAAGAATATTTAATATTTTAAAATTTAAGAATAAAATAATTAAATATTAACTTAAAAAAGCAGAATCGGTTGAGGTCAGAAAGAATATTAGATAATAATATAATAAATATAGAATTTAGAAATTTAGAAAAGAATAAAAAATAAAAAATAAATAATTTATCTAAATATTTAGTAATTAAAAAATACTAAAAATAACATATTATAAAATCTAAGATATCTTAGATATATTAATATTATAAAATATAAATATATTAACTTCTTAATATTTAAATATTTTAATATTAATATTTATTAATTTAATTAATTCTTCGGAAAATAAGATATTCTCGGATAAAGTAATAGAACTCGGCGTAAAAACTTTTAATAAAATTAAAGATATAGAATTAATAAAATAAAAATTTAATATAAATATAATTTTTCAAATATAAAAATAGAAATTAATATTAAAAATAATATAAAAATATTTATAAATATTTAAAAAAATATATAATCTAATAAATAAAATAGTTTAATAAAATTCTTTAATAATCTCTAAAACTAAGAATTTTAAAGCTAGACAGTATATAACTTAGAATTAAAAAAGCATTTAGTATATTTTAAAAAAATATAAATATTTTTATATATAACCAACTTATTAAGATTCAAAAAAAAGATATAATTTTTTATAAAAGTAGATACTAATATAATAAATATAATATAATATATTTAAAATAGAATACAGCTATTAAAATAGTTTAAAAAGAATAAATATTATTATTAAAATATTTAATAATTTGATATATAAGGTCGGAAAATATTAATACTATTATATAAATAGATAAATATATAAATAAGCTATTAAATAAATAAATGAATATTTATTTTTTACTATTCTATGCTAATAGATATATTAATTATAATATAAAATAAAAAATATATAATAAAAAAACAGAAATAAATAGTAAAAAAATTTAATAAAAATAATTAGAATTAATATAAAAATCAAAATTTAAAAAATATAAGATACTAATTTAGTAAAGAAAATTTATATATAGATTAGAATAAATAAATCAAAATAGAAAGTTAGAATAAAATAGAATAAATAATCTATATAAATAAATATAAATATAAATAACAGAATATAAAAATATAATTAAAAAATCTTAAAACATAGAAATAGTAAAAATAAAAAGATAGTAATATTAATACAGAAAAACCTATAATTAAAAATAATAAATATAAGAAAATATAAAAATGATATATTGTAAAAATAAAAAGACTCTGGATTATTACAGCTTAAATATACTATTATATATAATAATACTAATTAATAAAATAAAATATAATAAGATTAATTATATTAAGTTAGTTAAGAAAGAAGAAAGTTTAAGAGGTTAAGATAACCAAGAAATATCCGTTAAACGGATATATACAGCAGAATATTAATACCCACAAAATCCACCATAGAGCTGATCCAGACAGTAAATTAGAACTGCAGGTAATATTAGCTGAACAGCTAATATCTTTAATAAACTCTATTGTTTCTTTTTTATACTTCTGAATGTCATATTTATTAAATTTTCTGTCTTTAGTATTCTTTAGCTTTTCAATATTCTGTCTTATTTTTCTTTCTATGATTAACTTACTTTATAGGCCTAGTTTTTACTTTCAGATTTAATTCAAGAATCTTAATAAGAATAATCAATATAATAAACTTCTATAAAGATAAATTATAAAATTAGAGGAATTAGCTAAGAAAGTTCTGCTGCTACCATAAATGACAGTCAGACAGGCGGACATTAAATAAACAGCAGAATATGAGCATAATTGAACAAATTTGACACGGGCGGCAGAATTCTAATAGATAAACTATCTAAGACAGAGGCGGAATTTGAAATACTCTGTAGTTAATCACTTTCCCATTGACTGTACTAAACATATTCCTGGCACACTTATCACCTCCACACAATTTTTTAAAACTTCTATAACGCCACATACAGATTTCCGAGATGCCTTCCCTGGAAGATCGGAATGTCTCCAGTGAATTTACCATGGTAAGTTTGTAAAACTTTCGTCACATTCCCCAGTCCAACATCAAGTCGAGATCCCCCAGGCAACCTCGGCTGCTAATGATACTAAATAGGCCTTTAAAGAAATAGCTAAGTGCGAGCATCGTACACATCACGCAGTTCTGCGGACACACAACTGATCGTTATTCAACCAGAGGCGAGGAAGCAGCGCTGGCCCTGGAGAAGCACCTGAGTGAACTCGAAACTAGGATTGATGAGCTTTTTCGCCAATGTGATAGTGGCAAGGCCGTGTCCTCCAGCGACACTGAACTTAGCCAGATGGAGACGCATCCGCAGCCGGCAGTTGGCAATCAATCCTCAAACAAACCCGCCAAATAAAATTGACCGTCCGCTGTCTTTTCCATGACCCCTTTCTCTGTTATAATTCCATCAATCAGTGTAGCTGGTGTGATATCAAATGCTGGGTTCCAAACGTTGATTCCCTCTGCAGCTATACGCACAGTCTCCAAATTTCCGCTCTTAGATGTATCGCCTTCACAGGGCCCCTTGATTTTAGTAACCTCATCGGCCGGCCGTTCTTCTATCACAATGTCATTTCCAGATTTGGTCGACAAATCGATAGTGGTGAGTGGTGCGGCAACGAGGAACTTCACACCATGATATCTTGCCAGGACAGCAAGTCCATACGTCCCTATTTTGTTGGCAGTATCACCATTGGCTGCGACTCTATCTGCACCGACGACGATCGCATTCACACCAGCCTTGGAATTTGCAAGTAGTGCGGCGGACATAGAGTCTGTTATCAGCGTGGAGGGAATACAATCATGGACTAGTTCGAATGCCGTGAGCCGAGAACCTTGGTTGTAAGGTCTTGTTTCAGTGCAGTACGCATGCCGCAGACTATTCATTGATGCTAAGCTGCGGATGACTCCCAGGGCCGTTCCGTAACCGGATGTCGCTAGAGACCTGGATGAATGTTAGAAATTCAAATCCCGATTCTCCTCGATGGTGGACTCACCCTGTATTGCAATGAGTCAAAACAGTGGCCTCTGACTGCCCCGGAACCACCGCATTCGACATAATCCATTTAGCGCCATTTTCCCCAATCTGCTTGTTGTCTTGAACATCCTTTACCAACATCGCCTCCGAGGCTTTTATAAATGATACGGCGACCCCGTGACCTGTCGCCCCTGCCTGGCTAGCACTCTGAGACACCACGAGCTCGAGCTTTCGCGCAGCATCACCTAGGTTGACAGCCGTGGGCCTGCTGCTCACCAGGTATTGCAGCTTCTCTATAATGAAAACACGAACTTCGTCTGCATCTGAAGATAACCCCTCATTTGAAATCAGTAGGTGAAGCTCAGACGCAAGGGCAAGTGCTGCTACTATGGCGATAGCCGGCGCACCGCGGACTTGCATAGTCTTGATAGCATGCCAAGCTTGTTCACTCGTCTTGACATCAATATAATTTTCCACGTAGGGAAGTTGCAATTGGTCGAGAATTGCGAGGACACCGTCTCGATATTTGATGGCTTGCAAAGTCATGTTTGCGATATCCACCTCAGAAAAGGATCAATGGATCGTCCCGTAATTTCGAAGTGCTAGAAACGCTACCAATGGAGACAAAGAAAAGACAGAGCGATGTTGGTTGGACTGTATTGCTCTGATATTTAATCGGTGAGGAAATCCTTCTCGTTTGTTTGGAGGCGTTGCTAGGTACAGGCGGTCTAATTGGTGGGGAGAATGTGGCAAGCGGAATTTCACACCTCTGAGCCGAGCACACTAGGTCGTACTACTCACTACCTACCCAGGTAGGACTATCACCTGGCAGCATAACACCCTTCAAGGTTCAATTTTCTTTATATGGAAGTTTTTTACATGTTATATTCTTGTAGAGAAGAATAAGTAACTTAGCCCCTACCATGTCTCCACCTATTTCTAGTGGCCCTTTATGTGATAAAGATGTGCACCAGAGACCGTGTCAGTTGATCATGTTTTGTCTCTGGCCTAAGTCTCTGAACTTGATTTGCTAATCTCCATAGGGAACTGTACCAGGGAGAGGTGAGAGATTTACCCAGTCCGCACAGAACTTGCACTGGCCTTCAAGCTCGTACCCAATTCTCCATAATTCAATTCATTACCACGGCAATGCTTTCCTTCATGGTTCCCTCTACCGCAAGGGTTGAGTAAGGCGATGGTCCCTCAGAATTTGTTGAATTGGTAAAGAACTCGCAAATCTCCTTCGGAGGATCGAGGTGATATTAACGGTTTAATTCGTCAATCTGCGGATATGTACAGCACTACTCCATGTGGATCAGGATAAGCATGTAAAAGACCACTAGCTCATGGATATGATTCAAACGAACCATTATTGCCGCGGATGAAAGCATCACCATAGCTTCGTGTTAATCGGCCATTGACAAACTCTTCAGATTTCTCCAAAGCTATGTTCATGTAGCCATCTACAGACTGCAGTTCACCTAGGAGATTATATGTCAGCTTGCAATGGTTCAGAATTTGAAAATTCCGGTAAGTTGTTCCATCTTTGCCACACCCATCCTCGCAAGCTGGGATTCCAGTTGGGATATTATGAGTAGGTAGTCGAACAAAGTAGCTCGGGAAGGTACCTTTATAAACAACACCGGAGTTCAATTTAATAGTCACTGGAGCACCGATTATTTCGCCAAGGAAAGCCGAGGGATCCTTCCCTTCAGAAGGTGCACCATTCTCCATCTTGACAGAACTGAGTTTGGATAAGTTGGTGATCCTAGATTCAGCAACTTTCAGAAGTCTGAGAGTCGGCCCCGCTGGCGGAAGTTGTTCTCGATTTGTCAGGGAACTTCTAGCCCCGGAAGCCAGCACTAAGGTACCTTAGTCTCCGAGTTAAGGCACGTGTTCTCTAATCAAACCGCGGATTGTAATCCACCACCTACCACAATAGAATGCTGAAAAATCGCCCTTAAAATATCACCGCTTCTCTTCTAAAGACCATCGTGTCTACTTCCATTCCGAGGTTGCTGCCCAGTCACCTAGAATCTGCCTTCATTACAAGTCTAAAATTTACGGTTGTCAATTCTGAGCCCTTTCGATGCGATCCTTTTTCAATAAGCCATCTTGGGCAAGTAGGGGAGAGGAAACTCAGGACCTCAAGTTTTATCAACATGCTAGTCAAGTGTACAATGATATAATTTCCACGAATCAGCATGCGCGACGTGCCAACCAAATTCAAGAAACTGAAACCAAACGGCGACGTACTCCCATTGAGAATCATGGTGGTGACACATTACCGCTGGGAACCTGCAAAACCTCTGACGAATCTCTCGGTCATCAACTGCCATCCAATGGCAACACTTTCAATCGCAGATCTGTACATGGAAGCGAAGATCAGCTCGGCAGCCAAGCTCCAGATGCTTTATCGCACGGACCAGGAGTGACAGATCCCAGTGGTATTGACCACCTGATACCTGGGTTGGCGTCAAAATCTCGGGACGAGATTGTTACTTCTGGCACATCGGCTGTAAAGAACCCTAGTGGAGGCAAGAGAACTTGCATTGATAACTCTCAACCCTCGAATAGGCTGAGCCCTACTAAACCCCACTTGACACCCAGCAAGAAGCTTACATCGTCCGAAGATACGATAGTCCAGATCCTCATCACCTCGAAAATCAGTAACACCAAGCCGCTCATAGTTCGCCGAAAAATGCATCAGCCACTGAAAGATGTGCGCCTTGCATGGTTAAATCGTCAAGACCTACCGAAGGGGCTCGAGTCTTCTATCTTCCTGACTTGGAAAGGGAAACGCCTTTTCGATGTCACCACATGTCGCAGTCTGGGGATTGTACCCAAGGGTCGCCATGCGCATGGGCCTGTTGCCTGCGATTCATTACGAAGTGAAAGCTCTGACCTGCAAGTTCACATGGAAGCCGCTACTGATAATCCTCTTGATCCTGACAACAGTCGGTCATTGTCTTCCGCCAAGCTAGCGCCAGGTGCAGACTTGGACAGCGGCGAGCTATCTCTGAAAAATATCGTTTTAAAGGCCCCGGGGCTAGATGATCTTAGATTGAGGGTGAGTCTCCAAATGCAGGTCTCGCAGCTGATTCGCCTATTCCGTGATGCGAGACAGATTTCGCTGGAGCATGACGTTTACCTTGTATTTGATGGTGAACGCTTAGACCTTGGATGTGCTCTTGAAGATTATGATCTTGCAAATGATGATCTCCTGGATGTAATAGTCAAGTAACAAATTTCAGTGACCAAAAACCTAATACTCTTGTGACGTTTGCACATTCCTTGTAACGGCAATATGGTATAGCACGTGATGAACATACCCAAGTTCAGAGAAATTGGAGAAGAACATAGTCAAATCTAGGTGGAAGGATTCTCTTCTTTGTATTTCATTAAGTCTACTCAGGTAAATTTTAGGGCGAGAGATGGTCCAGCAATTCATGTATACTGTTGAGGAACAAGGTTGAAATCACAAGGGTGAAGCAAATTTCACCCACATGTACAGTATATAGAACACCCTATTACACAGGAAACTGATAACGTAACCTGAAAACAGCCCATTCCGTTTTTGCCGCTCACCCAACCAACAGCTAAGCCACTGCTAGACAATCCCAGCTATACATTCATATCGAGGAGTCGCTCAACCATTCTCAACAGCGATGAAGTTGCTTACTGCTAATTTTCTGACATGTGCTGTCAAAGGCTGCAGAGCAGCTGCGTCGTCCTACCCACTGCATTTCAAGGATGCTGAACTCGAACTGCAAGAGGTCGACTTTCAGCCGGAATTCATACACAATATTATCCCACGAATTGATTGGGAAGGTCTACGCGTAATGGCCAATGAGGTAAGTGTGCAGGTACTATCCACAAGAAAAGTTTATTCAGGCCACTCATTCAATTGACTTAGCTGGGTTTCCCTAAGATTCCTGATTCAAAGCCTGAAGGCGATGCACTCAATGATGAGCAGACAATGAGAGATCTTCACAGACTGCTATTAGAGACGCATGTTGTGGAAGGAAGACTATGCTGTGGCAACTGCGGTCATGAGTATATGATCAAGGAAGGAATTGCTAATTTCCTTCTGCCCAGCCATCTCGGTAAGACAAAAAATTCCATCGTGGAAATCCAGGTCTATGCTGACGGCTTTGCGCTATAGTTTAATTCTTCTTTCATGATTCTTCATGCGCTGGTGCTATGATCAGACTGTTGTTTGATACCCCGTCTGTATTTGACTGAGCACTTTCCTTGCTGCTTCGCCGAAGAAAGCCCCGCCCTAGCCCTTTCTTCAATAGATTATGGTTGTTAACATATGCCGCCTGGGATGGCATTTGCTTCACAGCTGGTGGGATTGAACAAGGCATTAACCACATGTCGAGCATAGACGCCATCATAATGGACACGGCACTACATCCTCGATAAGAGCTCTCGGCCTTCGCAATGTACCAGATTGTTTGACCCCATCATATTAAAGCTACTTTGTTGTCTATATGAAAACGCCACTATACGGCAGCTTGGATATGGAGTTGACCACAAATTGCAACTGTGAGAATAGCTCGCATACAGGGTTTTAAAGCTTCGATCGAGCTTACTCTTAGTTGAGAAAACCTTTGCAACCACTGGAACCGCAAAGACAGGGGATCCTGTCATCGCTGTCCCACTCCCTTTCAAACTTGTAGTCATATGTAAGCTCTTCATCTTTAATCAATGTGTCAGCATGTCAAGTAAATTAGGGAATGGTGATACAAAGCGTACCTCTTTCAATGTCCCTCAGGGCATATATGACAATCCTTTTACTTCCATCCACTTTGATGATCTTCGCAGTACAATTGGGTGTACAGCTGTGGTTAATAAATCTCGCAATGCCTCCTCGTTTTGTCGCGTCGATGACTGTGTTCTCGTCGATACGGAATAAATAACTGCTGCCGATGCCACTCTTCAAATATCGTCTCTCTCTCATGTCAGCAACTTGCTGGCGGACCTTCTCACCCACGTACTCGATGATCATATCATTGGCCGAAATGTTCTCTTCTGCATATAGTCCCCAATTATGGATTGCAGATCGAGCGAAACGAACAGGTTTCTTTCGCTTTTTCAGCTGATTGAAACGAAGAACATCACCGTCGCCGCTTTGAGTTGGGAGGGCTTGTTTTTGTGCGTTGATATCTGCGATGAGTCGGCGATTATTGACTCTTGTTGATCTGGATGTGGATTTAGACATCGTCTTGGCTGCAGCAATTCTCGCGGCTTCGACAGCAACACTGTGAGGGTCATTTTTCGCTTTTGCCTCTCGCTCTTCGCGGGCCCGTTGGACCTTGATGCGGTGCGGTAAATATTTGGACTTTTCCGACTCCAGAATCCTCTTCCTCCCCTCGGTTCTTGCAGCTCCCGTGATGTTTGAGACATAGTAGCCAAGGATACTGGTTGCTTCGCGCACAGGTCCTACTTCTCCAGGGCGATTCAGGGCTTTGATTTCTTTTTGTCTCCATGCCCAAGCAGTGAGACTTCCAACGTTCGATACTGGTAGTCCTTCCAGCACATCACGGAGGAAACGCAAGTCCTCCCCATCCTTAATCAGACTCTGCCACCCATCGAGATCTAGCACAATAGCTTCGTCATCCTCGACCGTTGGGCGGGGCTCGTCATTGGAAACCTTCCATCCTATTTCAGTCTTTGACACTTCTTTCTGGACTTCGTTGTCATTTAGGGCAATGGGGGTGAAGCCACAACCATGATCATCATCCTGAGTGTCAGCCTCAACAGCCAGTCGAGACCGCAAAAGCTTCGCAGAATCGACTGCCTGCTTCGAGATTTCACTAATGTGCCCACTATCTGAATCTTTGTCACTCGCGAGAGGGGAATTCTCATCTGCAATATGCTTCTCAATGACCTCCAAGTCGATGGATGATTCCATGTGCAATCGTCCCTCACTGAGATCTGCGGCTTGATCGACTTGAAAGAGGTCTCCATCTTCTTTCTTTCTCTTTCGCGCGATGACCTTGTCGTTTTCTCTTTTTCGCTTGCGAGATGCCGGGGAGAGTTTGTGCTGTTCAGGGTATGAAGCATCGTGCGAGGCATCAGTGACCGATTCAACCAAGATATCGACACTTTCTTTTCGAGCTGGACTGTACAGATGTTCGTCATTGCCGACTTTTTGCTCGGCAGATGCACCGTAGGCCTCCGGAGCGAGTTCATCAACATCCTCTGAATCCGAACACTCTGAGCTCAACCGGCTTGGGGCACGACTGTCCGGATCATCGGTGTCTCTTGTGAAAGGCGTCCTCTGCTCGTCATCTGAATCATCCACGTGGTGTAATTGTTGTAGACGGTGATAGAGAGGTCGAACCTCTTTCCTCCGCAAAGGTTGTTTACGCCTCTCGTCCAAGAAAGCAGCGTCTGTGTGGTTGAGGCGGTGAGCTTTCCTTATACGTGGAAGCGCAAGGATACTCAGATTTGAGGGACCGAAAGGGTGGCGGGCTGTGGACAGGTCCGAACGTGAATCTGGTGTCCCAGCTGGGCTATTTATGCCAATTTGAAACAGAGGTCTCTTTGCCCCTGCCGGATCACGAATTCCAAGTTGTCTTCTTTTTGCTGCATGTCGATCAGGGTCGAGGTAGTCATACAAAGTTGGTGCAGCAATCCGAGACTTCACGTCTTCGAGCAATTTGTCTTTCAGGTCCCGAACTATGATGGCTACCACTTCCTTGCAGGGATCCAAATCGTTTGCTCTTTGGGCTTTCTCTTCCTCGATGTCCAATTCAGCTTCTCTCTTGATTCTGTCCAACCTGGCTCGTTCTCGCTGCTCTGCCTGCAATCGTTGTGGACTGGGGCTGCGCTCATAGCCTGGGTTTCCATAAGGTTGACTCTCCATATTCATGATGTAGGTAAACAACGGTTTCATGTGGCACATCTTGTAGCAACGTTCTGTTTCTTCTTCGCCTCGCCTGGAATTCTCGAAAATGATGTAATACCCTGTCTTATCACATCGAATATCTTTCCAATCAAATACTTTCAACCTTTTTTTCAGGTGAGGAACCGTTGTACTAAGGACCGGAACATAGCAATGCGCAATGAAGATATATGGGTCTCGCTTGATCTGACTCAAAATGGGAATTTCCTCGACCAAGGACGGCACAACTGACTTGAAGAAGCTAGCCCTTGGTCCTTCAGGGATCACGGGCATCACCCGTGTCACGGACCTTCCCGATGGGCCTTTTGGCGCTGTCGGGGGGGGCTCATTCTGATTGACGGAGGGGCCAGCCGTTGTATCTTCTGCAACAGAAAGACAGTTCTTATATCCCATCCTCTGAGAGTCAATCGCTCTTGACACTATCTTCTCCGAGACAACCCCGTCCCGGTCCAATTCGACTCGGATTCTCCGGGTTCCGATACGCTGTTCCTTCTTGCACTCGCAGTACGCTCGTCTTGCGGCATTCATTGCGAGTAGTGGGCCGCCTCCGCGGAATGAGACACTATCTTTATACTTGACGGAGCAAATCCCGAGAAACCTGCCGGTGATTGGATCAGTACGGTTATTTATCTCCGCGATGTCTCCGAAGCTGGAGAATAGAGCATTAATTGGCGCGATCGGGGTCAAAGGGTCAAACCCAGTGACCACTATCTGGACCGGGGGCCCAGGCCCGATTGTTGTAGAAGCATCGTACCCCCATTGTCGCAAAGTATATGGGGCTGGACGGAATTTTGTTTTCTGCTTGCAGCCGGCACCACGCGCATAATTTACTATAACCAGTCGAGGATCCGGCGGTCTATCATCCTGTCCATGGGACATGATCTCCACATAGCGCGCCTTTTTGCGTTTGTCTTTTGATGTCCGCTTTTCGTTCTCGGGGTCTAAGGCTATTTTCCAGCCTCTAAAGGTTCCGGTCGAGCGCCCCTGTGACTCCGGTGTTGGCGGAGTTTGTAGCAAGGCGATGGCTGGCTTTGCTTCACCGGTCCTAGGATATCTAGAAAGAACCCCAGCTGTTGCCGTTTCTCTGGCTCGACCAGGGCTGGCCTTCTGGGTGGGTGAGGGCTCTGCATTTGTAAGCGGCGTAAGCGTATCCAGGCGTCCTTCGCTGCCACTTGTTGCGCCGGGAGGTGCTGCGGAAGCGTGAGGCGTGGTAAGACTCTTGCTTGTCGCACCTGAGAATCCATCTGCGGCCGTATCGGAAAATGCAGGTTTCGTTTCCCTAGGTAGATCATTCCCTGAACCTGAGCTTGCCGTGCTCAAACCCGAATCAGAGACATTCTGAGCCTCTGTCGAACATGCGAGTCTTTCGTGGTCTGTATCTTCATTCGAATGAACCTTGTTGTGGGTCTTGTCCTTGGTGACTTTGCGTTTCTGCTGTAGAACTGACGGAGCGGTGGGAAAGAAGTCTGCAAAACCTGCTGAAGTGCGCGACATGATGAGAAATGGCTACCAGCCAGAATCAAGATAAATGTGAGTACCAAGCCGCATCCTTGATATTGGTCCCGTGTCTAGTGGGCATGTATTGCCAGGAAACTCTCCTGGAACCAAAGGCGGTAACGAGAGCAGTCAAATTCGCAACCCTTGGGAAGAGCGGACGGGCGAGATGGAAAATGACTTGGGCGCTGGAGGTGATAGATGGCCCAAAACAAATCCGTATGAAATGCAATAATGGTCGAGAGAGAAAAACAATGCGGGTGGCACGCTGAATGGCCTGAAAGAAGGTAGGTAGGAGGATACTTTCCCAGTCACAGATAAAATGATGTACTGTATCCATACCGACGCGACGACCTTGGCAACGCGCCGGGTAAAATTGACCACAGAAGCGGCGGGGTGTAAGTTACTCCGTTTGCTAGGGTGAAAGGTAACTTACGCAAGTACAGTAACTATAAGTTACATACGAATAAGATAACTTCCATAGTATCAATCGCCGCAAAGTTTCTCCCTTTATCGCCTTGCTTTATGATCATCCTGTCATAAGATCGGCGCGCGACTCTTCCCAATATCCTTTTTCTATGACCAGTCCATCTGCCATGTATGAGTATCAATATTCTCAACAAGCGGTCGCACACATCGCTTGCATTTTTAAGGTACTTCATTGTGCAAGAGCTTAGTCATACCTACCGCGGGCTATAACAAATGGCAGGGCACGCTGCACTCGAGCAGAGATTTTATCCTCAATAAATAGGGGAAAATAACCTGCTGGGAATCAAAACTTATGCACTGGTGTTGTTTAGAATATGTTTCTCGCATTATTCTGGAGATTAAATCATATAGAGTCAGTATTCTGAGATATCCGACTAGCGGAGTGTTGTGTGTTTATGCTATGATCATTGCATTGGCACACGTTACCCTCTGCATCCATGCCCATTAAGTTGGCAGTGCATATATAAGAATATATAGTATGTTATTGGCGTTAGGATGCTATCATAGTCCTTAGTACGGAAGACACGGTTTTACCAGCAAAATGAACTGAAGACAAGCGAGTCAAATACAGTATACCAGCTTAAGGGTGTTTAATGTCTCGCCACCCAGCCCGAGTCAGTCTGCGAAGGAGTCCGTAGACTATACGCTGCGAAAAATGACCGCCCCCACCAATCCTTCGATATGACATCGTGACCCCGCCATTATGAGAGGGGTCTTCATCCCTGCTTGTAGATGTCTAGTTACTTAGCTAGTTAATTTAATAATTAGTTAATAACTTATCGGTGCTTAGTCAAGCGCGTTGGCATGAACCCTAGTTAATATCAATCCGCAAGCCCAAGTTTATGCCGCATATACGGAGGTGTGTCCCAAAAGTTATTGAACTGCGCTAATTGTCTCGATGTAAACTGGGTGTAATAATTTTCTATATAATACAAGTATGGCCTAAAGTAGTAAATTATAAAGCTAGATATAGTAAAAGTTGCTCTAAAAGATATAACTTGTAAGATTGAATGTAGTAACTACTACTAGATTAAGTCTAGCCTGAAGCATATTAAAAAGTCTTTACTTCTTTAAGTATTAGTATTATAAAGCTATTCCTAAGCAGTATAACTTGTGATATATCACATTAACAAGTTAATACATAAATTTCAGCTACAAAGATTAGCGCGGTTCAATAACTTTTGGGACACACCTCCGTACAGTATCAATGATTAAACATGCCTCCTGTTGTCCTCAGCATCATACACCCACAGTCATAGCCTTCTGCACCGTATCAAGGATGTGATGCTGAGGTGTGTCCGCCCTGCGAAAACCTGGTACCGTATGATGGTCTGAGATGTGATGACAGGGCATGGTGTGAACCCGATGTTGATTACCATTGTTGGACGAAGTCGACATGTGATGCTTGCCAGCGCCTTAGGGGCAATTGTTTGGAGCTATCTCATCATCAGAGATGGTAGAGAAGGAAAGGATTGGCCGATCAGCCTACCGGCCTGGCCAGCTAAAGTAAAACTTGTTAAGAAAATTGCTTGGTGATTAAAGGTCGAAATATAGAAATCATAGCTTCAATTACTACATACAAGTATAAAGAGCATGTCTATAAATTGGGTTCCTTAAGCAGAATATATCATTTAACAATTGTGGTTTGCCTAGCAATTCTTAAGTTATTTTCACTAGGTTGTCTGTTGGTTCAGCGCATTTAAAACTCCACCAGTTCAGTAGATGCTTGTTGTTATGATTTGATTCAATAATTGACATATACTAAATGTCTTCAGCTGTGTAGTGACCATAATCGGTGGCTCTAAGTAAGCTCAGCCCTGAAGCCCCAGTCAAACTTCAGCACCATAGATTTGGAGAGGCAATATGAGTACCTGTACATAGTTTCCTGATAGAGAATCGGTTATACTCAGTAGACTGCATATGGAGCCTCGTTATTTTTTCAGAGCCTTGTGCCGTCACAGAAACAGAAAGGATCCTCTGATCGACCCACCGGTGCACCGCCTGGTGCTGTGCCACCGACAATCCGGTCAAGTTCAAATGACTACTCCAGGTGGGTGTCTGCCGGGGGGGGAGGAAAGGAAAGGGGGACGTGGGGATGGATGTCTTGGCCAACGGAGTTTCAGCCTACCGCGGCTACATCTTGAGTACCGGTACGTAACTTATAGATAAACATACTAACTACTCCGTACTAGCAGTAGGAGAAGACAGAAGAAAGTTCGAATGGGAGACCATGCCCTATTGTGCCCTCGGGGGGGCACCCCTTCCCCTTTCTCCATTTGAGCTTTAAAACTGCCTATAAAACCTTCGTCTGGGTGGTAAAGACCCATATGCTTTTGATACGACACTACTCGAGTACTATATTAGGGGCTGCATTTCTGTAAGCAGAAGGCTTTGCATACAGCTAAAATGGGTATTCCCAAAGAGACTCAGCTTAGCCAAGCAATCATACAATTGTCTACCTCTTGGTGTGGTGATATTGACCTTTATTGAATTGAAATGGCGAAATAAGTTAAGTTACAAGGTCTTACTTAGTCAGTTGGTAAGCTAACTAGCGACTTACCTACCACGGCACAAATCGGCACTAAGACGCCTGTGGCCTATTATTAGAAAGCTATGTTTAGAGGACTGTGGCGGCGTGGCCCTCTAAATAACCCAGTACTTGAAACTATGTGATGAACTTTTAGCTGTACGGTACTACCGATAGACTGCTTCTACTCAGTATACGTGATACTCAAACCATAGCCATGTGTTCGAAACCTTGGCCTGCTCAGTTTAGTCGGTCAAAAACTGGGTACTTGATTTTCATCACTTCGAACGGTGGAGTAGAGCAACTGGGAGAGTACCTGTAATACGTAGTAGATACAGTCTGGTTTCATATTGTTCGGCAATCCTCCATGCCTACATATATAGTACCCCGGGGAAGATGCCAACATTACCCAGCGGTTGTCCAGAGCTGAGTCACGGGTGAAACATACCAATAGACCGTGTGAGGCGTAGAGTGTGGGCTTATTGGCTGCCACCTCATTTGATAAATGGTTGTGCCCTGGGTGCCTGTAGCAGCTTCCCTGGTCTGTGTGCTAATTGTGGGTCAATCTTACCACATAAAACATAGCAGCTCCCCCTCCTTCCGACCTTCATTGTTTGTTGCTCCCCTTCAGTTACTACTAATACCCTTCCACTTCTACCTACTCTATTTATCCCTTGCCTTTCCGAATCTTCCTTTCTCCCTACCCTGATAATAGCCGTCTCTCCCACCAACAAGATCCTGATTCTATCTCAACCAAAAGATACTGGCAGTGTATGTTGGAACCGCTTTGAAACACCTCCCCCGCACGCCCCTTATCTGTTGCTTGCGCCTCAAAGAATCACCGCTCGGTCTAACATGCTCTCCCACAGTTGGCATCCATCGGCGAAACTTCAAGCAAAGTCTGAGTCGAGTGCATTTCCAACCGAAAGACAATATCGCCTAGATCTTTATCACGTTGTGTTCGGACCCCAACCATGTGGTATGTTCTGCTTTCCTGATAGTGCGGGCCGAGCTGCTCTGACTTGAATGTACTGCTTAGTGGCATTTTCGGATACATTAATTACCTCGTTGAGAGGGACCGCAAATATATCCTTGATACTTTGCTCAATGGTCAGTTTCCCTGTACCTGCTGGATCTAGTATCGTGCCATCCTAACGCTGCGTAGGTCTATCGAGACTTGAATACCGTGGATACGACTCTGCGGGACTTGCAATCGATGGTGACAAGAAGAATGAAGTCTGTGCCTTTAAAGAGGTTGGCAAGGTTGCAAAGTTGAAAGAGCTTATCGAAGAGTCGAAACCCGACCTTACTAAGACCTTTGAATCTCATGCTGGTATCTCTCATACACGCTGGGCCACCCACGGAACACCATCTCGTCAGAACTGCCACCCACATAGGTATGTCAAACGTCTCCGGCTGCTTTCTGGTTCTTTGGCTAAAGCATACGACTGTCCTCCCGAGTGCATAGGTCCGACTTGAACTGGGAGTTCGCTGTCGTTCACAATGGTATCATCACCAACTACAAGGAGCTTAAAGCTCTACTGGAGAGTAAAGGCTTCCGGTTTGAAACAGAGACAGACACTGAGTGTATCGCCAAGCTCACGAAATATCTTTACGACCAACAGCCAGACATCGAGTTTACAGTACTGGCCAAGGCTGTTGTTAAGGAGCTTGAGGGTGCCTTTGGTCTTCTCATCAAATCCGTGCACTACCCTCATGAAGTGATCGCTGCCCGTAAAGGGTCTCCCTTGGTCATCGGTGTCCGCACATCCAAGAAAATGAAGGTTGATTTCGTGGACGTCGAGTTCTCCGAAGACGGTGCCCTTCCGGCTGAGCAGGCTTCTCAGAACGTAGCCATCAAAAAGTCCGCCACCGGGCTCCTCGCTCCCCCTGACAAGTCCCTCCTGCATCGTTCTCAGTCTCGTGCTTTCCTGTCTGATGATGGTGTCCCCCAGCCGGCAGAATTTTTCCTTTCTTCCGACCCATCGGCGATTGTCGAACATACGAAGAAGGTCCTTTACCTTGAGGATGATGATATAGCTCATATCCACGAGGGCCAGCTAAACATTCACCGTCTGACCAAAGATGATGGAACCTCCAATGTCCGCGCCATTCAGACAATCGAACTCGAGTTGCAGGAGATCATGAAAGGAAAATTTGACCATTTCATGCAAAAGGAGATTTTTGAGCAACCAGAATCCGTGGTCAACACCATGAGAGGTAGACTGGATGTTGCGAACAAGCAGGTCACGCTCGGCGGGCTTCGACAGTACATTTCTACCATTCGGCGGTGCAGAAGAATCATCTTCGTTGCTTGCGGAACGAGCTACCATTCGTGTATGGCTGTGCGTGGAGTTTTCGAAGAGCTTACTGAGATTCCTATCTCCGTTGAGCTTGCCTCCGATTTTCTAGACAGACAGGCGCCTATTTTCCGCGATGACACGTGTGTCTTTGTTTCCCAATCTGGAGAGACTGCGGATTCACTTATGGCACTTCGGTATTGTCTCGAAAGAGGTGCCTTGACTGTGGGTATTGTGAATGTTGTGGGTTCCTCTATCTCGCTCTTGACCCATTGCGGTGTTCACATCAATGCGGGTCCTGAGATCGGCGTTGCTTCAACCAAGGCTTATACCTCACAATTCGTGGCCATGGTCATGTTTGCCCTTTCGTTGAGCGAAGACCGCGCTTCCAAGCAAAAGAGACGCGAAGAGATCATGGAGGGACTTTCCAAGATCTCCGACCAGTTCAGAGAGATCCTGAAACTTAACGAGCCTATCAAGCAAATGTGCGAAAAGTTTTTCAAGGACCAGAAGAGTTTGCTTCTGCTTGGTAGAGGTGGCCAATTTCCTACGGCCCTTGAAGGTATGCTTTGTGACTTTGGGGATCGCTATATGGTGCTTACTAATTTCTTTCAGGCGCGTTGAAAATCAAGGAAATCTCCTACCTCCACTGCGAAGCTGTCATGTCGGGTGAATTGAAGCACGGTGTTCTTGCTTTAGTCGACGAGAACCTGCCAATCATCATGATTCTCACCAGGGACAACATCTTCATCAAGTCTTTGAATGCTTACCAGCAAGGTAAGTACAACCGCCTTCCCGCACCTGAAATTATCATTCTTTGGCATATGGGCCCTTCAGGATAGACTGACCATATGATAGTTATCGCCCGTGGAGGTCGCCCTATTGTCATCTGCAACCACGATGATCCGGAGTTTTCTTCAGCTCAGACGGAGAAGATTGAAGTCCCTAAGACAGTCGACTGTCTCCAAGGGCTTATCAATGTCATCCCCCTTCAGCTAATCGCTTATTGGCTTGCGGTCACAGAGGGTTTGAATGTTGATTTCCCTCGGAACCTGGCCAAATCGGTGACCGTCGAGTAGTTTGAATATGTGGTCTTACCAGTACACAGCAGATAGTGCCGTGTTGTTCTATTTTCTACCATAGCCTTCATACAAATGACTACAATTTTTTAACGACAAAAGATGCGAGCCCTGGAATAAAGTATTCGTCTATCTTCGAGAATGATCATTTTTGCGTAGCTTGCCTTTAGATACATGCGAGCAATGAGCTCATTGCCACTATAAGGGCCCTCCGGATTAGCCAGGATTGCTTGATACACGTATATATCAAAGCTTGCAAACCTACGTAGTAACACTATGGAGTGGCTTAGCGGGCCCGGTTCGGACCCCACTTCCGGATCCCAACCGCAAACGTCCAACTGCCAGTTCGCTGTAAACTCTACACCTCGTACAACCTATAGTCTCAAAAATCCAACAGAGTAACCAGATTGCAGATTAAAATCCTCAGTTCAACGCAAAAATGACTACAATTAAAGGTCCAGGAGCCGCGCAGGTACACAACGGTGAGGGCTACCCCACTTCAGCATTTTGCACATGCCCTGTTGCTTGACACTGATCCCTGTAGGCTCGGGGCTCAGAATTGCAATTGTTCACGCGCGGTGGAACATGGAGATAATCGGCCCTCTTGTTGACGGGGCCAAACGAAGCCTCCTATCAGCCGGAGTTCTGGAGGAGAATATATCACTGCATACCGTTCCAGGCAGCTATGAGTTGCCCTATGCAGCGCAGCGGTAAGCGAGCGCTAAGGAAAGCCAACTGTTTTTTCGGTAGTAGTTCCTCTAATGCTGTACTCCTAGGATATATGCCGCCTCGCAGATTCAAGCTGCCAGAAGCTCGGCTTCTGCTCAGGCCATCAGCGCCACGGACTTGCTCTCTTCTTCGTCTGCAGACCTTGCAAACCAATCTACTCAGCCTCCATCTACTGATACGCCCCAGCCATTCGATGCCATAATTGCGATAGGTGTTTTGATCAAAGGGGAAACAATGCATTTCGAATACATTGCCGATGCTGTGACTCACGGACTGATGCGCGTCCAGCTGGAGACGGGCGTGCCTGTCATATTTGGTGTACTTACTGTACTGAACGAGGAACAAGGCCTGGAAAGAGCCGGATTGGGTAAAAAGGGCATGCATAACCATGGTGAAGATTGGGGCAATGCAGCCGTGGAACTCGGAGCAAAGAGAAGAGACTGGGCTGAAGGCAGAAACATTTAGGGTGGATCAAGCGGCTGACAAGGTATATGGCCCGAATTGGAAAGAAACTCTTCTTGTTCTTAATGAGGGTTACAATCGATGAAAATCTTAGCAGATGAAGCCTTATTTACTAGATCGATATCAAGGAAGGGCCATCCCGTTTAGTATTGAAGAGAAGCCGTAAATTCTCGCGGAAATCGCCTGCTCATCTATTGATTAGAACCTGAAAACTTCACTCTTGCATGCGTTCGTTGTCGATGGCGTCGGCCTTCGCCGCATCATCTTCATCGTCATCTCCCTCGAGAGCCGCTTTTGCCGCCCGCTCAGCTTCTTCAAGCAGCTCCTTCGGTACCTCTTCGTGTCTTCCTTGCGTTGGACCATCTAGTGAACTAATCCAAGTCATTTCGAGTTCAAAGTCCTTGTCCTTACTGTCTTCATGGGCGACGTAGACAATGCGAGCTGCCTCTTTCACGCCATCAATGAGACTGAGATTGCCGGCACTCAGGTCCAGTTTCTCCAGCTCAGCCTTCGCCGCCTGTCTGCCCTTTCCAGTTGCGGCGCCATAGTAACCCTTTCACATTATCAGCATGTATCATCAACTCAAAGCCGTGCAAGCAAGGTGGTCTTACCCAATACAGACCACTCGGTTCGATCATGTATAAGCCTGGACCTCCGGCTTTTGCACCCTCAACCTTCCCGCCAGAACCTGCTTTGGGTCCGCTTCCAACTTGACCGTCAACCGCAAGCTCCGCTTCAGAGTCCCAGCCTCCGATGATAGCGGTCACTCCAAAGGGCCTCACGCTCGAATAGAGCGTGTAAGCCTGTACGTAGCTGCCGAGCCGGTTCGATAGAGCGGAGACCGGTATAGGTCCCTTGTAGACATTTCTCCACGAAGAAGCCTCGTCTCGAGCTCTCGAGACGAAATGCCGACCGTCGGGAACTAATCCTGCCGAGACCTACATCAACACCAGCGCACATGTTAGCATAAGCAAGTTTAGCAATGAGCAATACGCCTTTATCTAGGCACGAGGTGAGCACCATACAATGCCGACATGGCGATCAACTGTTGCTATCCTCTTGTTCGCACCAGGCTTCAGAAGCTTGCTGCTGATAATCTTCTCCACCGCCAGTACAACACCGTCTTTGCATCTGATGCCAACGGCTGTTCCCCCATTCTCGACGGCTTTGACCGCATATTCTACCTGTAGGAGATAGTCAATGACTTGCCTAGCCCCCTGGATTACTTGCACAGGACTTTACCTGGAAGTTACGGCCATCGGGCGAAAACACCGAGTTTGAAAGATCATAACCAGTACCAATAGATGTCTAGATTATGAAGGTGTCAGTATCGTAGGAGCAGGGTTGTCAGGAGCAAGCAGACAGCCTAAACGAACCATGGCGATTGTGAACAGTCACAGAATTGGTGCGAATCGGGATACAAGGATGTGGAGGAAGTGTCAGGTGTAGGTGGACGGTTACTGGGTATAGAGTGTTATGAGTCCGGGACAATAGATCTGGAAGGTCGTGAAGAAAGGTATGGTGACTTCAAGCAAGTCGGCTGACGCGCGTAGTTCGTTACCTATGCCTAAGGTAGTAAGTACACTGGAAGGAGCTGCCTGGCCTTAGCTCAGGTCGCACGGACCACTCGCCGCTTTAGGAGTTTGCGAGTCACGTGGTAAAGTATCAAGTAAGATGACGTTGTTCCAAGAGTCCATCTCAGCAGGCTGGAAAAAACTGTTTCCAAGCGAAGCTGAAAGTACAGGGTACCTAGTAGTGACCAAGTGCCGGACAGCCAGTAACCATCCAGGATGGCATGGTAATAGGTACTAGTAAGAATCTTTACTTTCTAGCACCCACTTGTATACTTGCGCTTGTACAGTACCTTCACTATATTCAACCGTGAACTCTCGGCAAATTACCTGATTCTCTTATTTCATGTGCCCAACGAGAACCATGATCGTTTGGGCATTGGGCAGCATGTGCTCTCACTGCCCGCTTTGCACCCGGTGCCTTATATATGTATCAATCCACTACTCCTGGTCAATCACTGCGGCTGTCTCTCAGAAAGAAGTGACTTTGCTCAAAGGACAATCACGTTCTCTCCTTCCCTCCTATTCATGTATGCATAACTGGGATTCCACCAGAACCAGTTGCTTGATCTTCATTCACTGGGGCATTCTCGCACTTGAATCTTTTTTCCCTTGACCAATAACTCTGCCATGGAGTCTATATTTCCTCCTCAGTGTCTCTTCTGCAGCCAGGGGACGAAGGGTTCCGAAACACTCGCCCCATTGACCGAACTTTCATGCTGTAGTCAGGTAGAGAGTCCAACACTGCTTCGAACTCAGCTCCTGACCAAAAGGGCTTGTAGTGCCGACTGTCGGCATCCGAAAGTAACATGCAACTCCAGCAAGAACTCGCTGCGCTTTTCGAGAGGAGTATGACACTCAAAATATCAACACCCACTGCCAGCGACCAATCACTATGCTCTGTTCCTGTTCCCCCCGACCCAGAGTTATACAGTATCAGGAAGAACCCGGCCAGCACTATGCACCTGCACCCCACAGCAAGTGACACACTGAGGTATCACAACATTGATCCATCAACACTTTTGCCAAGACAATGGAAGCTCTACGAAGGAGCAATGCCAGAACAACGGTCACGCCTAATCCAGATGTGGCAGTTGTCACCGGAGCACCGATACCACAGCGACCAGGGTAAGACCGAGGCTACCTGCATGTCTGATCCCTGGAGCACATCGTATGAGACTCGCACGGTTGATGATCTTGATATGTATGATTTAGACCAGGGCGTTGACCACAGCGTCAGCCAGTATGCCGAGCCATACATGATCAATGGCTATAGGGCTGTCGCTCAGAATGACAAAGAACTCTCCAACAGAAGAGACGGGAGTGCAGCAAGCGAGCCCACGGCAGGATCAACATACAGGCTTGCAAATGATCCTGTTTATCGCTCCCAGGGCCAGAGATGGTGGGAGTATGAGCATTCGGCATCACCCAAGTACTATGATTGAGAATATGTACCGACTATTGCTCCCTGGGGGTGTGAATCCATCACAGCCACGGATTATTGCTCACAATGTATCGGAAATCCAACCACTGTCACGGCAATATGCCTGTGCACTCCTCTTTAGGGGCTCCAATATTTTCGAATGCGCAGTTGGGAGGCCATGAAAAAATGACAGCGCAGCATAGATATAGAATACCACATATGTCACAGGCTCATAATACAAATTCACTGGGCATGGTGTCTCTATGGCAATGCTATGTTGATATAACTTGAGCTGTGTAATATTCCATACGAAATTGATGGAGACCAGAAGAAGGAAGTTTTATTTTCTGACTAGTGCCATCCCACTGAACGAGTCGGGAAAATGGAGCAGAGGTTTATGCATATGCTAGAGCAAAATTTATATACTGTTTCTCCATCCTGCTGGATCACCCTGATATCTTAACCCAAGGGTTGCCAAATGTCGTTCAACCCTCCGCCCCTTTCCTACTGGCACACAACTTCCTGGCTGCGAGAGTCATGGATAGGGTCATGATCTGAAGGAAGGGAGGAGGAAAAGAAGGAAAGAACTTGACGCAACTACCACCACACAAGGAATGGACGGCACCGGAGAATCAAGTTAGCGAGTGACTCAGCCAATGCCACGTTCTTAGATCATAGAGATTGCTGCTGGTTGGTATAACGTAATCCCCCATGGTCGTGGCAGGAATGCCGTCAAGAAATTGCATATGAAGCATAAATCGGACCGAGCTCCAGAGAGAAGCGAAGTAGTAGCATAAAAAGAATCGAGAGAGGAAAGAAACGTGTAGATGCCTTCCAGGCCCTGGAAGGGCAGAAGCCGTGGCCGGGAAAAAGGCCACTTCGACATGCCACGCTCGGGCACACTACTCGTCATCGAGTGCTGCCATAGCCTCCGCAAGAGCATCAGCGGAGCGTTTGACCTCATCAACAGCCTCGGCGGCTCGCTTGATCTTCTGGCATGGTTGGCCAGGCAAGTAGCACCATTTCTGCAACTTGGCTGGAGAAGCCTCTGCCATGGCCTCGGCCAAGGCATCAGCTGAGCGTTTGACTTCTCCGGTTACATCGGCCGCACGCTTCATCATGGCACAAGGCTGGCCAGGGAGATAGCACCACTTTTGCACACTGACAGCTTGCACAGTAGTGGCAGCAAGAGTGGCAAGCATCAAGGATAGGAGCTTCATGGTGGCGGTTGAAAATAGCAGAGGCAAAGAATGGTATTTTGTTGTATATGTTTTTGAATGGACAAATATGACAGATTTGCTTGTTTTCTGGCACCGTACAGACCATGAAAATATGGAAAGGGAGGCATCTTATATATGGGTGGCTTAAGCACAAAAGCACAACGAAAGATGCTGCCATGGTCGTTGAATAGGTGTTTCAATAGAATGGGCTTCTATTGATGAAACTGGTGGACCCGCAGAATATGTTGGCGAAGGCAAGACTGATAGCCCTATTGCGAACAAAAAGGAAAAAGAACAGAAAGGAAGCATCAATCATGGATTATCAAAGAAAAGCCAATGGCATGGGCTAGAATGTATCCTGTCTGCTGTCATGTAAGCAAGAGGTTGGCAGCCTGATATTTTTGGCGGAAACATGAATCTGGTACTAGAGAGGATTCGTATGGTAATGGCCAGCAGAGACTGTGAGTATAGTGAAGAACTAAGCGTGGCATCGCATATTGCCTTGTGGTTCTCGATATTCCGTTGCTCCAGTCGCTCGATCAGGGCCTGAATAGAGATGAGGTTCAAAGGTGTGTTGAAGAGAACAAGACAATGATTGGCTAATCTTTTCCCAATTCAGCCCTCAATAAGTTCGAGTCGATTCAGCGGGAAGAAAAGTTCACATTCAAACATGCAGTCATTCAGATCCTAGAGAGATGTCGAACGGGTCAGATGTACAGTACCACGAACTGCGTCCATCTAGTATCCGGCGCCGGAATCCAAACGCGTTGGTCCAAGAAATGATAGAGCATTTATCAGCGCCGCGGGAGGAACGACACCGGCTACTTTGGCTACTTTGGCAGTCAGCTCCGAGGTACTATGAAGTAGGAGACGGTCAAAATTACCTACTTGGCACATTCTCGTTGTATTGAGGAGAGATGCTCAATCTAATTACGTAGCCTGTCAATTAGTTCAGCGTTAGCAGCTCCAGCCAGGCACTAGGCAAGAGATAAGATCGGCCCGTGCTGTTGTCAGGGAAAAAGGAAAGGTTTTGGTGGATGCCGAGACGATCCGCCCGTTTTTTCCGGCGTCTCGTGCATCTCTCCCCTCGCCTCGCTCTTTTCTTGCCGTCCTCCGTCTCTTTCTCCTTCCCGTCCTCTTTGCCAAAACCAGTGCTTTTCAGCGCCTCTCCTCTCCTTGCCCTCTTTTCTGCTCACCTCTGCTCCGCCAAGATGTTCTCTCTCCGGACAGCGCAGCCTGCGCAGGTAAGTCAATGAAGAAAGACCATAAATCCTTGCTTTCTTTCTGCATCAGTTGTTCAATTGATTCCTTCGCACCCTTGCCTATTGGGCCGCACATCATTGCCTGCCGACCCAGCTCTTCAAACAAAGACTTTGGGAATAGTGGGCTCCAGCCGGCTTTCTAAGATGGATCTTGTTCTTCTTTGACTCCTCTGTTACGTTCTTACCCGTTAACAAGCTCAATAACTCGTCTCTCCCATTCGCCTTGCTACACTCGCCTATTAACGCCTCTGTGACAGTCTTTCCTTCGTCGCGCTGCGGTGCCCACCCTTGCCCGCTCCTCTATTTCCGTTAGATGTGTGTCAACTCCTTCCAAGCCATCGACACGGTTTGCCAACAATTATCTGTGACTAACCTTCCGCCGCAAGCCTTTGCTAGCGTTCAGTCGGACATTTTCAAGCCGACCAAATATGGCGGCAAGTACACCGTCACACTAATTCCAGGTACTTTGACCCCGATCTTCTCCAAGTCATAGCTTCCAATACCTGGCTCCGGCCATCTTATTGCTTCTCTCGTCTCCACCCTGTGTCGAATACTGACCTGCAATCAATTATCATCACAGGCGACGGAATTGGCGCTGAAGTTGCTGAGTCGGTGAAAACAATCTTCAAGGCCGACAATGTTCCCATTGAGTGGGAGCAAGTGGATGTTAGTGGTGTGGACACCGGCAATAAGCACTCGGAGGAGCTCTTCAAGGAGTCCATCGCGTCCCTGCGACGGAACAAGCTGGGTCTCAAGGGTATCTTGTTCACCCCCGTTGAGCGCTCCGGTCACCAGTCATTCAACGTTGCTCTTCGTCAGGAGCTCGATATCTTCGCTTCGGTTGTCCTCATCAAGAATATTCCCGGTTACAAGACCCGCCACGAGAACGTTGATCTGTGCATCATCCGTGAGAATACCGAGGGTGAATACTCCGGCCTTGAACACCAGTCCGTTCAAGGTGTGGTGGAGTCACTGAAGATTATCACTCGTGCCAAGTCTGAGCGCATTGCCAAGTTCGCTTTTGGTTTCGCTCTTGCCAATAACAGGAAGAAGGTCACCTGCATCCACAAGGCTAACATCATGAAACTTGCGGATGGTCTATTCCGTAGCACCTTCCACAAGGTTGCTGAGAACTACCCAACTCTGGAGGTCAACGACATGATTGTTGATAACGCCTCCATGCAGGCTGTCTCGCGCCCCCAGCAGTTTGATGTGATGGTCATGCCTAATCTGTACGGTGGTATTCTCTCTAACATTGGTGCTGCCCTCGTTGGTGGTCCTGGTGTGGTTCCTGGCTGCAACATGGGTCGTGACGTCGCTGTGTTTGAGCCCGGATGTCGCCATGTCGGCCTTGATATTAAGGGCAAAGATCAAGCGAACCCCAGCGCTATGATTCTGTCCGGATCTATGCTTCTTCGCCACCTTGGCCTAGATGACCATGCGAACAGGATCTCGAAGGCGGTGTATGACGTGATTGGTGAAGGGTAAATTCGTTTCTCCCAGGGTCATTGCGGACTTTTGACTAACGCTTCGTCCATCAGTAAAACAAGAACCCGTGACATGGGCGGTCAGGCCACCACCCACGAGTTTACCAGAGCTGTTCTCGACAAGATGGAGGCTGCTCTGTAAAGAACTTTCTCTTTGAACTTGCTACTATTATGATGATGAGAGCTTGTATAGGCCTGTTCACTGTTAATCTATTCCTTATCTGGTAGACTATGCTCACTCCTGGTACTGTCGCTATATGTTCTATCATCCACATGTACACCACCATATTGTCCTGCACAATACAAAGTCCTTCGACAAGATCGTGAAGCAAAGCACACAGGACGAATGTGACGCAAGTAAACAGCGACCCATGAAAGATGACCAGGTGTCTATTAACCTGCATATTTGAACCCTCGACAGCAATCTTCTAATTTTGAGCTATAATCCACTGGCAGAGGAACAAATGCCCAACAAGTATGCGTAAACTCGAGGTCTCGGTGAATCCAAACCGCGCACTTGAAAGGAGCTGGTGAGAAGATCTGGAGGAAGAAAGTCCAACAAAGCAAATTCCACTGCATCACATGCAGTGCAAAAGCCAGGCAGATGTTGTTACGCACCGTTTCCGTGCGTCGAGCCGGCTTTGATATGAGCTGCTACTTTGACAGACTCGGTGCAACTAGCCGATGTGGTTGGTTATGCCGTTCTTGATGCCACAATTTGCAGAAAAGATCTGTTTGTAACAATAAACGATTTGATGTCCTTCGCGGAAACCTCGGGAAGGCCACGGAAAATGAGATCAAAATGCAGGGCGCCGTTTTCTGCCGGTGTATTTCGAATTTGCTTTGACCACCTTGCCCTTCCGGGTCATTTGTTCTTTCTTACGCATAATCCAAGCCTTGTCGCCTTTCCGAGAGGGCAGTGCTCGCCCCTTTTCCGTGGCGCTTCTTCTGGCATCAAGGACGTCGACATCGCTCATGCCATTCACAATCCCGGTAATGTCACCCTGCAGCCCGCCGCCACCAACAGTGAGAACGAGGTACAACTTGCTGTTCTTCGTTCCAGGATCGTCTTCTAGGATACCTGCTCCGAAACCGGCCTTCATCGCGGCTCCACTGATCATGCTTCGCTGAGCATCATTCTTTGGGTAGAATTGACAGACTGCGCGGCCCCCGCGTCGAAGACTAGCATAGAGGCCCTCGAAAAATCTCCGTAAGCGGCCCTCAGCGCTGACATCGCTCGATTCTGCATTGCACAGCCACTGGATTGCACTGATGCTGATCGCTGCATCTAGTGATCCGGCGCGCAATGGAACGCCTTGTCCGAGGTCTGATAGAAAAAGGTCTACGGCCTCATCGTCTTTCTCTAAACTAAGCTGTAGCATGGATGCCGAGACGTCAAGGCCGATCACTTGATGACCGGCCTGCGAGACGATTTGACTTGATAGACCAGACCCACAGCCAGCGTCTAAGATAAGGGACGGGGTCCGTAAATCGAGCAGCTCAAGTGCTCTATGGCTCATCTCTGCTTGCACCTTTTTTACGCGGCTTGAGGTATTATAACGACCGGCTTCGCGATCCCCATAATATAGATCCGGGGGTCTATTATAGTCACTGATGTTAGTATCAGGTGGAGGGAGACAGTGCTGCAGAACATACAGGATGTCTTCAGGGCGCGACATGATGATCACAAGTATATTCTCTGTGGTAGAGCCGGCTGTGAACTGATAGACTGGGGATTGTATCTTGCTGCCGATGGGGAGAAAAGTAGAATCGCTGGAAAAATATTCCCAATAAGTAGACAAAAATTGGGGGTTGAAGTCAGTACTCTGTCCGCGGCACAGAAGAAAAAAAAAATGGAAACTCCCTGGCCGCCTGCGGGCCCGCACCTGCCGCCCGAATTCATGCAGCAAGTGCATGGAACTCCGCAACGACACGCATGCAGTATATCTATGCCAACCGCTTTCTTCCTCCTTTTCATCCTCAGTGACGGAGGTAGCTGATATTGACTTTCTCTATATGACCGCGAGGGCTTTCAAAGTCATTTTGTCGTCTTTATCCTCAGTCCAAGAGACCAAGCCGCTTGCTGTTGTGATCTGACCAACTGTTCGAATCCCCTCGAGAGAACAAACAGACTCCAGAGTCTCAGCCTGCGCCCACTGCAGCGCCACCCAACACAGATCATGTGGATTTTCCCGCTTGTAGGGTACTTGGGGGTGATCGTAGGATTTGCTTTCCTCACCCTAGCAATAGGTACGTGCAAAGTACGACATATGGGAACGATGCTGATGCTGTTCGCCATAAACCCCTTGGTTCCGGAGAGTCAGAAGTTTGGCTCCAGTACTAACTCACTCCAGCTTCGGGGCTATATTACCTGTCAGAGCTCGTGGAGGAACACACCGTCCTTGCCCGTCGGTTACTATCCCGGCTGATATACAGTATAATCCTCGTTCAGATGCTCCTTGTCGTGTTTGATCGGTTTCCTCTCGGCCTCTCAGCCCTTAGTATCGGCTCCCACCTTGTATATGCCAGCAACCTGCGCCGCTTCCCAGTCGTGAAATTATCCGATCCCCTCTTCATCTTGTCGTGTGTCCTCGTGGGGTTGAATCATTGGCTCTGGTTTCGTCACTTCTCACAGCCATTGCCCTCGACGCGAAGCCCAACAAGCTGGCGACACCCATATCAAGTCACCGTTGAGGATATGCCAACTTTCACTGAAGTGGCATCCTACTTTGGACTATGTGTTTGGTCAGTCCCTTTTGCGCTTTTCGTCAGCCTAAGTGCTGGGGAAAACGTTTTGCCTAGCATGGGTTCCGAGTATGTGACAGGGGAGCACGTTCCTGGCTCTGCATTCACTGGCGGCGCTTTGTCGTCAGATAGCAGGTCTAAGAATAAGGGGATGGCGAAAGCGTTGGTGGTAGGCTTCCGGGATTGGGTTAGTGAGAATGGGGAATTGATGGGGTTTTGGAAAGGTGAACGGTCGAAGAGATTCTAGGTCTCTGATACATGTCTTCATGCGCAACATCCACATGCAATATAAATTGCACCTTGAAATTTGGCACAAGTCGTTTCATCTAAGTTCATCATACGATAGAAGTGATCATGCAATCTCTTGAATAGAGGCTATCATCCGTTCATCGGCTTTTCAATAGAAAGGAGTATGTCTAGATAAGGCTAAAAAAAGGAACGGGCTTGCAGTCTTCAAACGTGACACGGGGATGTATATTCTGCTGCAATGAGAGGACATGTATGGACAAGAGAAGGAGAAGCTGAGGAAGAGAAGCTGCAATGCATTCGAAATGTGTAAGCACGACGGGCAGAAACCAAAAGATTTTCTATCGTGAAGCTGGGTGGGGTATATGGTCTCTGAACTTTGCTCTGTCGAATCTGAAGAATTGAGCAGATCGGTAAAATGTGCCATCCAAGTCAGTAGCAACAATCCATGAAGCTCTTTGTTGGCTGGCTTCTAGGAAGTGTACAAAAAGCCATTCTCATATTATCATTATTATTAAATGTTTCGTTGCCGTGCCTGTCAAGTGGTGTCAGGCTGAACATACGGGGCCATTTTGTATTCGTTCGACCCGAAAGCTGGCCTTGAGAACAGAGACATGCTAGATTAATACCATGGAGAGAACCGAAAATCCAATGCCAAGCGACCAGCAAATGACGAAGCGGGAAATTCAAGGAAGAGGACGGAGGAAAGGCGTAAGGAGACGAGCCATGTAGCATCAAGCATGAGAAAGGTACCGAAGAGTATATAGACAGTGACCAGTCACGGACTGGGTGAGTGGGGTAGAATAGGCAGTGGAATTGGGCAGCATGCAGAGCCTGTCTCGCCGCGAGGCTGATCCCAACGCTCGGTAATTCCAGGTTTCGGTTATCAGAATTAGTCATCTTGCACTGGAGGTGAAAAGGTATGGTTGTTGATATCCATAAACAGTAGAGAGCTTTCTCTCCTTTTGGACTTGGTAGACCGCGTGTTGTCAATATTCGGCGACAACATCTTGTTAGCGAGAGGTATGATTGACTGGTTCGATTGGTACACCTCGGACCTAGCATTACTACTGGATACCTCGTAGCTCTGCTGTGTGAAGCTAGACACACATTCTGATAGCATAGAAGCGTCCTGTGTAAAACCCGTTTGCTCCTGGTTCCCTGTCCGACCCTGTTTGTGTATAGCAGTATCTGGCAGCACCTGATGGTAAGGGAAACGGGACTCTTCTGGAATGGTGGCATAGTCATCACGAGACTCCAGTGATTCGTCACCAGAAAATGGTGGCTTATTGAAGATCTCTTCATAGTCAGTGAGAAAAGTGGAGAAGACTGGCGCTGGTATATTGAGGGTAGGCGCGAACACAATGCCGACATTTCTGATCGTCATCTTATTGATGTCGGAATTGTTCACGATGATCATCAGGAACTGGGCCAATGCACGTAGCAAGGCAAGGTTCGGCTTGGGTAGTCGGTGGACAAGGACGTTGAACGCTGCGATCTTCTGTTTCTTCTCTTGAAGTTCTAGATGCATATCATGAGCAACGATCTCGAAGCTATAAGTTCCATAAATACTCACCGAGGACTCGCAGGAAATCCAAGTGTAATTCACGGGTCAGAACGGTCGTGGGAAGCTCCCGGAGGTATTGTTTGAAAAGAGATGCAACAGCATGCACATCATGGTACTCATCATCGGCCAGGAAATCCAAGTCGCCCTCATTATTGAAACGTTCCTTTAGGGCTTTCACAACGACATTGGAACCACTTAGACGGAAGATCCCCTCTTCCGACTCTGCACCCTTCGCTTTCAGATACTCTATGCAGCGATAAACCACAGCTGGCAATTCAACATCAAGGCCCTGAGGCGCGCAAAATTCCACGGCCTCGGCCAGGGCCAGACCGAAAACGGGCCTAACAGAGTCTCTTTTCTCGAATGAATTAAGCATTTGAGATGTTGAGCCATCATAGGCTGCCTGAAGCTGTGAGGCTAGATCCATCGATGATCTCGTGCGAAATCCCCATATGCTCCGTTTCTTCTCTTTGACACTTGTTGCGGTCTTGTTGCCCCAGGCCCCTGCGTCTTGTATCACAGCTCCGTTGGTAGGACCAGATATAATTTTCGCCGAGGATTGACCATAATCCTGACTGGCATCTTGACTGTCGGTCGATGACCCTGAAAAGACTAAAGGGGATTTAGGGGCTTGCTTGTCCATGGAGGGTCCAATAACTGGAGGTTCGGCAGGAACAGCATCATCATAACTAAATCCCTGGACAATATCGAGACCTTCCACATCCGAGTTCTCGAGACTCTTATTTTGCTTTTTGTAGCTTGTATTGGCAAACAGCCTAGACTTTGCAGGCGCGTTCGCAGCGGACTTCCCCACAGGCGTTTGGGCTTTTAAGGGCGTGCTATAAGTCCCATCTTTGTCCTCGCTTCGTGCGTCAACATACTCCAGGAGCGCGTCAACCCACGTATCCCTTTCCTCATCGCTCTCGGCGCACAAAACGTGACGAACAAGAGCCGTGGAATCTTTCTTCTTCGGCTCAAGTATGAGGAAGGCATGCCGGTACTGATTATCGGTGTCTTCCTCAACGCGAGAAGGAGAATCCGGCTGGCTACTTGAATTTTGAGACTGCTTGCCAATCTGGGCGTTGTAGATCCTAATGGTTCCCAAATGAGGGCCACCTGGCGACTCGAAGTACTTAAGTTCAGGGCCGTGCAGAACAAAGTATCTAGCTTTCCATCCACCAAAATTCTTTCCCCTCTTTGTCAAATAACCCTCTTTGCGGGGTTTGCCGTCCGGGCCTCGCCGAATCTCAATGCCACCTAAATTGTTCCCTTTGAGCAGGCTTGTCTCGTCGTCTCGAGCTTCTATGGCATCGGAAGTAAGGAATTGACATATAATCAATGCTGCCTTCTCATCCATTGGTGTATCGAGAAGTGTTTCAAAATAGGAGTTGAGCGCGGCACGTCTCGCATCGACTTTGGCAGGTGAGTGTCCGCTAAATATTGACCTATCTGGTAACCTGCCCCCCCAGAAGCCCAGCTGCCTTAAGTGTTGGTCAAGAAGAGGAAGAGCTGCGATAACCTTTTCAACGCGCCAGAGCTCTTCATTGCCAGACCTAGAGAACACACCTAAAGTAAAGACTGGCTCCTCTTCCAATGGCTTCGGAGCCAGGTAACTGTTTCGGGAGGGCCGCAGGCGTGAGGAAGAGACTTTCACATGAACCAGGGGCAGTGCGTTAGGAGGTAACAAGAGGTCTGGATAGTTTCCTGAGACAAGGCCTTGGTAAACTCCATTGCCTCTCCAAGGAGACTGAGATGCATCCGTCCTAACAGCTTCATCGATTGAGGGTAATTGTTGGCCGAGAGAGTCGACAAGAGCTGAACCATAGACAGCGCTATCATCTGTTGTATAAGGGCCTGCAGCAGATGGAGTTGGGTGGCTGGCAACGCGAGGAGACAGCGCTAATCCAGAGAGTGTGCTCTCCGAAGACTTGGGCAACGAAACAAGAGACGGGGGGATCTCTCTAGGTAAACGCGGCAAAGGGGATCCAAGAGGGCGATCTTCAGGCCTTGGGCTTAATGGTAACCCAGGACTCTTTGGGATGGCGATTGTAGGGTGACCTTTAAGTAACCTTGAACATGCCACTGGATGGCTCGAGTGGCGGGAATCTGCATGATTGACAG